ACACTTGCCCAGGGATTATCAAAGCAGTGTTGGTTTTAACAAGCCTCAACCCCTTACAGGAACCAGAAGAGGGAACTGAATGACATTCGGTTCGAGTTCACCGTTGGTCGAGACACGTCGGAAGGGGTCGCCTCAGAACTGGTAGCAGCCGGTCTAGTCGACGGCCGGGACTTGGTCGTTATCGCTGCGAACCTAGACAAAATTACTCAACATCCAGAAATGGGTCAAAACCTCACCTTTAGATTGGTAAGTCTGCGAAAGGGCTCCTCCTTTGCTGATGTTCGTTCTGTGTGAATTTGTCTTGGCCAGGAACATTCTGCTCTTCTCCTTCCAGTCTCTTTCTATGGCTTTCCTACCCAGAACCGTGAATATTCCTGGTTGAGAGATAAAAATAAGACCTTTTACTCTGCTTTGAAAGAGATGATTTTGTGTAAAATTGGTTCTGGGCAGTTTATGCTTTAAATGCTGATCGATTTGTGATTTTTGGCCTTTTTCGGTGACTGAACTACATGGGTTCTTGGCCTCCTCAGACCTCCAGCTAGCTCTCATTATCTCAGTGTCTTCATACCACCAATAAAGCTGACATAAGCCTTCTGGCCTCTTTATGTTGCATCTTTCAAATTACTTTAGACCGATAGAAAGAGGATTTTGCATGCATAGTTGGCTGAATAGGGTTAATTAGTGGAAAATTAACAAATCCACCTCTTGTCATTGTGGAGGAGAAAAAAGATGATTTTTTCTGATTTGTAATAGTAATTACATCACGCAACCATAAAGTCAATCTGTTGAAAAAGTGATGGGACTTGATAGGAATGGGTGCTTTTCTCAAAATCAGAATTTTGAAGAGCTATTCTCATCTAAGTCATTAATAAAATGATATATTAGCTCTATAATGTTCACAGTATGATCATGTGTTTCATACTATATCAGTTTGTGGACGTTTACAAGGAGAAGGTGGTCTGAAATTACTCAAAAAAATACAAGACAAAAATTTATATCTCCATGTATTAACAAGCGTACTTTCAAAAGTAATCATGGGGAGGGGGATATTACAAGATTTTTGAGATCTTGTCAACTCACCCTTTATGCAGGCAGAGTATTAATGCATCTTTTCTTTTTTACCCCCCAGAGTTCAGAATGTGAAGCCAATGAAGTCCCTGATGATAAGGCATTAATAGGCTTTGCTCAGTTAACGATTTCCGACTGATCCAAGAAAGGGGGCTCCCTTCGCAAGCGGAAGCCACGAACCTCGGCAAGCCTTCGACAGCCGGCCCGGCCTGTGGTGACTCCCAGGAGGCCAAGCACCAACAGTGATGAGATTTGTTATCAAAAGTGGATCTTTAGGATTTTCCGTGCTTTTTTTTCCGTCTGGGGCTAGACCTGGCCTATGCGCCTAACATGCATCGTATTCCTTGGTTTTAACTTTTACTTTTCTTAACATGTATACAGTATTCTGTGATTTATTAGAGGATGTTTTCCTTTGCAATTTCCATCACACACACTGAGATTAGTGTCATTCTTTGTCTTACAGTGCAATGCATTTTATTCAGAGATTATCTTAGCATGGTAAGCTGCGTGCAGAGCCCACTTCTCTTGATTATCAAAACAATTGTGAATAAGGTTTGGCTTTGTTGACTCGACATTGTATTTATTAACTGGAAGGAAGCATTAGCTGCTGTACATTGTCTTTCAGACTCAATGGAATCTGCTGAGTTAATCAAACATCATTTTCCGTGTGCTCGCAAGTATACTCTGTGCAATGTAAGGAAAGGCTTAGATGCAAGAAGAGCTGAGAATATGTTTACTGTTTTATTCAAATAATCAGAGCATTAAGATTGAATATTTCAAAATATTTAGCAAGTTATTTACTCTGGATTTAGTTAACTACTGAGCAACACAAAGTCTTTGCTTGTTCCAGATTCAAGTTTTCAAATCTGGCTGCTTGAAGTTCTAAATTGTGTTCCTTTAGGAAGTAAATTATTCACTAGTTGTAAATTCTCGTTCAGAAATCTGATCTTCAGGGAAGAAATTTGTTGTTTCCAATGAATAGAGCCAAACCATTATTAGCATTAAAATGATAAACCAAAAAATTGTCATAAAGTTGTACAATTTTACTTTTTTTCCCTCTAATAGGATGAAACTTTTTTTGTTTTTTTCTAATTTGATGCAGAAGACACAAAAATGAATTTTGATTTTTTGGGGCCCATGTACTAGTTGATTTCAAATACTTTAATTTTTTATATAAATCCTTTGTTTATGTTTGCTAGACTTTGCAATGGATGTCCAGTTTCAGGAATTTAAGTTGAGTTCAGTGCTTTTTTGAACCTCGGAAAAGAGAAATACATGTGTCCACCTTAAAGAGTTAGATTGATTTCAATATTTCTTTTAAGCCCCTGAAAGCAAAAGAGTAAATGTAATTAATTAAGAGATTGCTAGTTGCATTGCTAAACGGTGACACTCAACACTTGTTGGTGAGAGTGTGTGTCTTCATTGCTCATGAATCATATCATGTCATTTGTATGGTAAATACAATATATTGTTGATAAGGAAATAATGTAATGCAGTATTCTGGATGTTGGAGTGTAATCAAGATCTTTTATTTTTGTTCCTTGTTTTTACTTCACACCACTGGGTAGTGAAACAGTTGTTATGAGACGGCCTTAAACATGCACCAATTTCAAGTAGTTAGAATAGTTGCGTTATCCAATTTAAAAGTGTTTTGGAATTACTACTCAAAGAGAAATATATTGTGCTAAATGTTTGCATGGATTCGGAATGCAATATTTGGTAAATAACCCCACAGTTACTGTAAGGTAGAGAACATGAAGACATTTAGCAAATTACGGCTTCAAAATGCAGGGGGAATGTATATTGTTGAGGGGCACAGGGCTCAGCCATTCCAGGAGGGGAGCCTTGAGCACAGGGAGTGGCCAGGACGTGGCTTACCAGTGATAGTGGAGAGGGAGCCAAAGAGGAGGGCCAGCTCTGCCCCAGGGAGGCATGCAGCCCTAGCATAAGAGTGGATGGTAAATATAGGGTTAGATGAGTATAGTTTTTCATGATACATTTCCTTATTGCATATTATGATATAATTTTTTAATATATTCTTAGAACTTTTTCAGCAGATGTAAGTTATATTTACAGTATATGAAGAAAAGATATTAAAATAACCCTCATTGCCATGGGTTAATTCCAATTTTTACCACAATAAACTTGCAGCTGTATGACTGTTCAAATCAGTGGATGTTGTGACTTCATAGAGACATTTCAGGCAGAGTAAAGAGTAGTCAGGAAGTTTTTGTAATTGATTAATTCATTCCCTGTTTCGAGCACAGGATTAATCATAGGTGGCAATTAAAGTCTTGATTTTACTCTCTTTTTCATGTTTTTTATCTTGTGGCTAACATGAAATTTTTTCCATTAAATTTTCCTCCAAAAGGCAGGGCTACAGCTCAGGAACTTGATATGGATTTCATTAATTGAATGACTACTGCTTACTTTAGTCAGTGTTTCTTAAATGTTGTTCACAATAAACATCTTGTTCTTGCCTGTGATGTGTTGATTATGATAATAGAAATGTGCTTTGAAGCCTTAAAACATGTATATGTAGTTTAAATAACAGTGATTTTTGACATTTTGAAATGACAAACTTCACAGTAGGTACTGAAGGCAGCACTGTGTTGCCAATCCAGTGCACTTCTGAGGTCTGTAGGTTATTTAAGTCTCGTAGATATAGTGAGAGCACCTGACTGAATGAGAGAACCCATGTCTTAAAACAAATGTATGGGTGCCCTGGAAGGATAGGTAGAGCATATGTGGTGCTTGTCATATTCTAGGTAATTCTCTTCCATATTTTTTCCTGACTCCAGCATTATCGTGATCTCTGCAGAATATGAATAGAACATATAAGGAGGAGCAGGAAGAGAAAACTTTGTATTTGTCCCTTTCTTCACAGTCTATATAGGTGTGTGTGTGTATAGACAGTATGTATTGTGCGTGTGCGGGTGCATGTGTGCATATGAGAGTGAGTGAGTGAGTGAGTAAGTGCAAGTGCAGGTGGAAGGTAAGTGTAAGTGAGAGAAAGAAAATATGTGAGTAAGAGTGAGGAAGTGTGCATGTATGTATGTATGTATGTATGTGTAGACACACACACACACACACACACACACACACACACACACACACACACACACACACACACACACACACACACACACACACACACACACACACACACACACACACACACACACACACACACACACACACTCACTCACCTTCTCAAAATAATATGTATATATATATGTGTGTGTGTGTGTGTATATATATAATGTATGTTTGTATGAATATGAATATATGTATGTTTGTATGTATTTGCATACACATATACACATAAACCCGTATATAGCTATAGTAATTTTCTCTTTTTTTTTTTTTTTTTTTTTCTTTTTTTTTAATTTTACAATTTTTTTTTCTTCTTCCCATTGTGAGTTGTTCGAGTGTATGTATATTAGTCATTATAGAATGATATGTTGCTCATGTTAAGTTCCTCATCTGTTTATAATTGTACATACTCTTTATAGTATCAAATACACAGCGTTCATCAAGGTACCCCCACCCCTCCCCCACCCCTCCCCACCCACGCCTATCTGTCAACAGACACTGTATTCATTTCTTTTGTATAGATGATTTTCATTGAAAAATGATGAAGTGTGTTGAAGTAGATAAATTATCTTTATTATTATTATTATTATTACAGTTATTGTGACTACAATTGATACAGTTTAAGGATATTCATCAGTAACCATAATATCAGCAGACCTCAGGTCTTTTTGATACAGTTTATTATTGAAGTCAGTCAAAAGTGAAAAGCTATTAGCTGTGTAACTGGGAATATTGCTTGCTTATATGTATCGCATATTCCAGAAATACAATTTGCCATTTGTTAGCATAATTTGGACTTTTGTTGATCTTTTTCCTCATGTGGCTTGTTTTCTTGAAATGGCATTTTATATTTGTCTGTTTGCTTGATAAGGTATTTCTAGATTTAAAATAAAGATCAGCAAAGCTACTCAATTGCAATGCATGTTCTTGTGTGATATAAAGGAATTGGCTCTTGTTTCTAAAAATGTTAATAATTTTAATAGACAATAAATTTTTTAAAGTCCTGAGTGTTACATGATGTAATGTAGAGCTCAAAATTTTACCTAGTGCATTTTTTTTACATGTTATACCAGTTTGATTTTCATAATTTTTTATTACAAATTCATCAGGAGCTGTAATAATTCCTTTTTATTTTTTCTCTGTTTATGCCCCCCTTCTTTTTTATTATTCTTCTTCATCCCATGTAAGATGTATTTGTTGGTGGCCAGTGATAGATAGGTGGCAAGGTCCGAGGGAAAACAGTTTCTGAAGCCCCTTACCGTGCGTTGGCTAAAGTAATTCCAGAGACGCGGTTTGAGGCTGGGTGCATTCTGCCACGCCAGGTGCTGCACAAAGACATTCAAAGGCTGTTGCTGCTCGTTGGATCGATAGCTCTCTTCCCTGTGGCCGGAATTTAGGGTATACAATGTGCAAAGCTAATATTTTTCATTGATTATCATCAGTACTTCTGTTGTTATTACTATCAGCATTTTTTTTTTATATTGATATCACTGTGTAAAGTTATTTTGTCTTTGTGTGGCTCTTTGGGCTGGGAGAATTTTGTACTGGTGTTTCTTTTCTTTAAAAACTAATCAGTTACTTGTGATGAAGTATTATTTGTGATAAGCACTGCTGATCCAGAAATTCTGTTGCATACTTTTACTATTTTATATACATATTTATCAGTATCATTGTGCAGATTTTTTTTTTCTTTTCTTTCCATTTTAGCCTCTTTCTTTTAAAAGAGGATATATTAGAGCATCCCTGTGTTAGATACAGGAATTATCTACTTTTTTATTACATGTAATTAGAAGGAATCAGGAACTATTGTTACTACTAAAACCACTTTCCTTTGTTTCTTGTAACTAGCACTTCAAGAAAATATAACTTAAGTACACGAGGAATAGAAGCCATTACGCCATGTGTCTTAACAGTCACTAGCTATAATACGTACCCAGCAGGGAATGTGCCAAAGTCCACCTCACTCACCTGAGACGACCACCCATTAAATGTACACCTGAGTGCAAATTGACCACGAAACCGAGCACTCGCTATCTGATCCATCTCTTATCTTATCCATTGAATCTTTGGATACTGTACTTAGGAAAGCTGATCAAGTTCTCAGTCAAAAGCAGAATGGACTTGGAGGTTCCAGCGACCCCGCCTGCCCTAATGCCAACACCCGCGTTGGGGGGCCATTCTGCAGAGCGAATAGCGTTTGGTACATTTTGCACGCGGGCCCCGGACAGTTTTCCCCCTTGACTTATTCCACGTATTAGCAATTGCCTTATTTGTGCTGAGACGTGTAAGATGTATGAGTGGTTGTATATATTAAATCTGTATTTTAACAGGAGTAATAACAATATGGTCTAATTTATAAGTTTGGTATCACTGCTTGCCTTGTGTGCAGTAAATATTGGTATGGAACTATGCATATTGTACCCGTATCCACAAATTGTTTTCCATTGTTATAATTTTTTCTCTTGTCATGGATTTGGGGAGGTGTATTCACATTAATATAGTAGGTAAAATGCAAAATGTTTATTATAGTATGGAGTTATTTATTATGATTGTTATTAGAATACACTTTTGAGAAATACTGAAACTCCTGTATAAAGGTCAGAAAATGTTGTATAATTGTAAAACAGACATTTCAATATAATCTTCACAAAGAAGTGTGATTCAGTACTGTATGATTTCTGAAACTTGTGCTTATTACCTCTTGCCAGATATCATAATTTCTAGTAAACTATCTGGTCCTAACCATAGACAAATTACGTAGGGTTGCATTTCAGTGTACAACTACAACATGTACCCTAGGAAAATTCTTGTGATGAACCTATTGTAGGAAGGTATCATAAGAATCTAGGATAAAAAAATAAACAAAAAACAAAAAATGAAAAAAAATATATCAGGAGGTTACAAACCAATGTCCATATTAAATTATAAAGCCAAGATTAAGTTATAGTACATCATTAGGGCTGTGTTATTCTCATACAGTTTGTAGCAGTCCAGGAGTAAACTGGTCATGCCACATGTCCAAGTTTCAGCTACTCTATAAAGTAAAGAAGTCAAGAACACAGTGACATGATTTTTTTACCCTTTTCAATAGCATCAAGGACTCGCTAGGAGTTGTAGTTGTAGATATAATGAATGGAATCTATGATGAAGGCTGTGTACACTAAAGCAGTTCACATTTGTACATCTCTTCAGCAGAAGATGTACAGTTTATCCATGAGCATGTGTTTGTGAAGTATCATGGCTATTTACGCATGTAACCCAAATCAAAATCAAACTCCTCAAATGCCCAGGCAAAAAAAGATGAGAATATCCACGTATGGGAGATAAACGCAGCAT